TCTAATATTTTTTATTTAACATTGGTGGCGAAAGGACCTCCTTAAACTAAACAAAATCCTTCCTAAAATACCAAGAGACGTCATTTGAGTGGTATTTTTGGAGGATTTTGTTTAGTGAAATGTGCATAATTGTTAATAAAAACTTACCTCAAACAAATTCATAGAATACCTTAATTTTGGCCACACATTTTCTTAGGAACTATGTATACATCGAGCTTTGATTATAGGTACTTACTAAATGAAGATGTTGTCATTTTTATTCAACCAAAACATCAAGGTATATAACTGACTTTTACGCATCTACAGATACCATTAGATATTGGAATCGATAATGTCTTATTTCTTGCTGGCGAGTCACAATAATGACGTTACCCTTAGAGTCAGTCTTTCCACCTTCAGATAAAGTGTCAGGTAATTTTTATCTCCCAAGTAATTTAAAAAGTAATCTTTTCACTTCTGGGTAAACCTAACTTCTAAATAATAAATTATCTTATTTATGAAATTTCTGATAAAATACTTCACTGATGGATAAAACAGGTAGTTACATAACCACATAAGGTTAAAAACTACTGGATACCTACCACGCATATTATTTACTTGAAAAAAACAGAAAATTAATTATCTGACAGACAGAACTCTCAGATAATATATCCGTCAGTTACTTATCTGGAACTTTATCTGAAGGTGAAAAGACCGACCCTTACTAGCTATTACTAAAGCTAGAGCAGCGGTTCTCAAACTTTTTTGGTGACGGAACCCTTTTGGAAAGCAAAATACTTGACGGAACCCTACAATAAAACAATAGTTTTTAAAAGTGTATTCTTTATTATACTGATTATTACTTATTTAACATGCCACATGGCAAGTACATTATTACAAGATATTAAAAAAGAAAAAATCTAACTAATGGGAGGTATGAAACTGTTTTTTATTTTTCATTAATTGGTTGATGTCAGGTTTGATAGAAGACAGTTGCAGTCTCATATCAGGTTCGGCGTCCAGTCTATTGCGATATTTTGTTTTCGTGGCTGCATACGTTGAGAATCCTGTTTCGCACAAATATGTTGTTGGGAACGGGAAAAGAATATTCAGAGCCATTTTGCCAAGCATTGGATATTCATTACGAATTCTGCACCAAAAATCGTTGAGAGGCATCGTTTTGAATAGTGACTCCATACTTGTGTCTGATGACATTTCTAAAAGAGATTCATATATCTCGTTTGACATACTTTCGGGCTTTTGCAAGTTGGGTAAAAAAGGATTATGAATCCATGAATTCAGTTTTATTTTTGTATTCTGTTCTTCGGGAAAATACTTTTCAAAAGATGCGCGCATCGAAGTGAGATATTGAACCAATTCATCAAACATATCATCTTGAAACATTTCTGAGTCGTTATCGCTAACAAACTCACTGAGTGACGTAAAGCTTTCTATTTCTCTCTTATCAACGCAAACAATCCAAAAATCTAATTTTCTTTTGAAGGCAGTTATTTTGTTATAGGCCTGGAATACTGTTGTCTGTTTACCTTGCAATGATAAATTCAAGTCGTTTATTTTTTGAAAGATATCCGCCATAAAAGACAATCGGAACAACCAAGTTTTATCATACAAACGGCCTTTCAAATTAAAAGAAGTATCAGCTGAAAGAAACATTTGTAACTCCGCTCTAAGTTCAAATAGCCTTGTTAAAGTTTTACCCCGAGACAGCCATCGCACTTCTGTATGGAGCAGCAGTGTTTTATGTTTGCTACCATAATCTTCACACAATAATGAGAACAATCGGGATTGTAGTGGTCGTGATTTGATAAAATTGATTATTTTTACCGCTTCATCCATAACTAATTTTAGATTTGACGGCATTTGCTTCATCGCAAGTGCTTGTCTATGCAGGATACAATGGCTGGAACTACAATTAGGCGCTTTATTTTTTATGCGTGACACTGCACCTGCTGTTTTACCTGTCATAGCCTTGGCCCCATCTGTACAAATGTCAATGCAATCGTTCCAACTGAGATTATTTTCTTCAAAAAATATGTTTATTTTATTAAAAATTTCTTCCCCGGTAGTGTTTGTGGGCAGCGGTGAACACATAAGCATGTCTTCTTCAAAAGAACTTTCATATGGATATCTCACGATAACCAGCAAGATAGCCAGACCAGCGACATCAGTTGACTCATCAATTTGCAAGGCGAATCGTGTTTTTTGTAGACGTGTAACTAGTTCTTGTTTGACGTAGCTTGCCAGATCATGGATTCGCCGTGAAACAGTATCGTTTGATAGCGGCACAGTAGAAAGATACTTTACAGATTTTTCATCGAGCATACATTTTGTTATGTCTAACACACATGGCTTTATTAAATTTTCAGCGATAGTGTGCGCTTCACCTTCTTGTGCAATGCGATAGCTAACTAAATATGATGCCTCCGTGGCCTTTTCATTGATAGTTTGTGTTACATGCATCATATTTTTTTGACTTTCCAATAACTGTTCTTTTCTGCGAACAAAAAATTCTTTATTCTTGTCTTTAGACTCGGGGTGTACAGTTTCTAAATGTCGGCGCAATTTGGCAGGTGCCATGGAACTATTAGGAAGCAGTTTACTACATAGCATGCAGAGAGGTGAGCCGTTGGAATCAACAAATCCGAAACTGATATATGATTCATCATACTTCCTTTTTTTCGTCTTTGAAACCGTGGAGCTTGACGTCGTGGCATCATCGTCTCGATCGGTAATTGCTGCATTCTCCGCATGTACTGCTTTTGAACATTCAGCGTCATTAGAAGATGTTGTTGCAACACGTTTAACGCCTTTAAGCCAACGTTCCATTCTTCTTTATTAATAATGTTACACGTCAGGATGGTGGGGTCAAAATAATGCACAATCGTTACTGCTTATAAGAGACTAAGTTTAGTCCAAAGAAGAAATGTACAAATCTGATACAATCAGAATACAGCAGGCAGTAGAACAATAAACACTAGTTAAATATCACGTTTAAACTCCGCAATTCGCTAGACAGCTTGTAAGTAGGTAGGTAGGAACTTATCGCTACGAACGCTAATCGTCAACTGACTGACGAGGCGCGACGCGCGATCGCCGCTTTTATACTTAGTCCTAGACTCGATCTCGGGACTGCGCACTCACAAGTATGCGCGCGGCAGCGGCGCGGCGGGCGGAGTCAAAACGTTCGACCAGAGAGAGGTGTTTTGATTTTTTTTCTAAATTCTTGCGGAACCCCCACAGGGGTATCGCGGAACCCTAGGGTTCCGCGGAACACACTTAGAGTATAGCTGAGCTAGAGTATTGAAATAGTAATTTACGTTACAAGACCGGAAAGCAGTGTTTTGCAGGTCGAGACAAGCAGATTGGAGAAACCTGCATATCACTAATTTTAGGTCGCGTGACGTACAATATTTTTTTAAGACCGACACTTCGATGTAAACTCAATTATTTAATTTAATAAAGTGATTAACAAATACTAAAACTAAATAATGGATACAACTGCATACACTAACTAAATACATTATGTTTGTATATTTATGTTAAATGTACATTTTTGTTGCTTCCAAAATTTCTTCTGGAATTTCATTTTCTATGTCAGATAATTCATAATCTGAATCCATATTTTTAAATTTGCGAAAACAAGTTTGACATAAACAACAAATTCAAAATAAATGAACTGTCACTTGGCAATAAATCGGAACGTTGTTACCATAGTTACGAAATCAAGGCAGACTGAATTATTAAATAGCGATCGGAAAAATTAAAAACAGGGACCGGTAAAACTTTTAACGGCCCCTAACGTCTACTTTCTGGTCTTGATCGGCAAAACGTTATTTTCTGGACGAAAAATTGTTTAGAAAGTGTATACTTTGTGGTCCGTCTTAAAAAAAGTATTTTCTGTTCATAATATCTCCTTATTAATTTAATTCAACAACGCCAGTCAAGGTGTTCACCAGACGAGTATCAGTTTTCTACAGGCAAATGATCTTTGGTATATTTTGTAACATATCATACTTTATTAGGTAATATACTGTGTAATTAAATACTTTTGCTATGTTGAATAGTATCGATGATAACTATGTCAGCAGCTTTCGAAATAATTTTATGAAATTCATAAATCATTGTCATTGAAATAGATCCTAATTTTGCAGATATTAATTTGTATTATTTTTTATATACTTCTTAAACTCTACATGAAACTCCTTCCAGTTTTAGAATTTGTTTGGTAAACTATTCTTGTTTTATCACTACTTTGATGTTTACTATTATTTTGTCACTTTCTTTATCTCTGCTTAAGTAGTATTTAATCCAGGTTGTGTCAGTACGCGAATGTAGTGAACTGAATAAAAATCCGCCCGTAATTACTACATCGTAATTTTTATGTTAGTTTATGCATTGTAAATTGACTTTTGACTATAGCTATTTAGTTATTAACAAAAAAAGTCCAAACTGGAATACGTGGTTTAATTCTGAAAAGTATACTAATTAAATTAAGTCACATGGTTTTCGAGTGAAAATGTTTCTAGTAGTTCGAAACATAATTCATTGTGACGAAATTGTAAACGGAGTTTAGTAATACATCAGACGCACTGTCTCAAGATATTTCAATGGTTACCTCCATCTCTATGTCTTTCTTAGTCGGCATTGTGATCACGTCCAGACAAATTAAATTTTGTGGTGGGTATGGCCGCCTTGAAACGTGCGCTTTCTGTGAGACGTGTTTTCATCATCACAGCCTGCTTTTCACTTTCGGCTACGAAGCCCATTATTTCCCAGCCTCTGCTTGGTGTGGGACTCGGTTCATTATTGAACTTATTAGCTGTAAAAATGGCTTTTCGAGATCAACTTCAACTCCCGCTATATTCCAACAATTTGGAGATGATATTTTATTGAATTCGAATAAAGTTGAATTACATGGTTTATTTGAGTGAAAATAATATTTTTAATTAACAATAAAATGATAGAATAAGTGATACCACATAAAAAAAGTTGATTACAAAATGTTTAAAGGTTTCGAAAAAAAAAAGCCGTCACCAGGCTTGTAAGTAAAAAACCTGATAACTACAAGTTGACACTTTATCTTATATTGGTCCTTACTATAAAAAGGTATTTATTTTATTTATTTATTTAATAAACTGTTCAACAGGAAACCTTATTAAAGAACAGGATTACAAGAAAAAAATACTCACAATCTGAATAACAAAATTCAAAAGTTAGTAGGTTACAATAAGAACAAGAGTTACAAGCTAATATAAGAGAAAATGATTCTTAATTTTACTTGCAGTACAATTAAAGATGTCTAAATTACTGCACATTTCGTTAGAACATTATTATCAATTTTATCAGTCAGTAACTTAAATAGAAACAGCACCGAGTTACAGGAACGGCGAGCTGATAAGCTAATTAACTGCATGTCTTTGCAAAAGAGAATTGAGGCGTTCCGATCGCAGGGTAGACACCATCAATTCTGAAACTTAACAGTTTTAAAAATCGTCTGTGGACTTGTTCTAAGTTGTTAATATGAAGCTGATAAAATGGATTCCAAACTATAGATGCATATTCAAGTTATCACATTAGAAATGCATAGTAGAGGGTAGTGAGTATAGATGGATTAGTTAAGTCTCAACTAGCCCGTACAACCAATCCGTAAAGACGAGAAACAGCGGATATAATATTATTAATGTGGCGACTAATAGATAATTCTCTATCGAACGTAACACCTAAATCTGTAATAGTAGTTGGTCTTTGGAGGATTGTGTTGTTAATAATGTAATCAAATATTATAGGATTAGCACCAAGACCATATGACATGACAAAACATTTCGCAGCATTAAGCGAGTAGTTGTTTCTCAGGCACCAGTATTCAGCTCTATCAATATTAGTTTGAAGGCTTTCGCAGTCGGATCTGTGAGCAATGGTCAAACACAAGTTTAGATCGTCGGCATATAACAAACAGTTAACATCAATTATTATATCAGTGATATCGTTAATAAATAATATAAATAATAAAGGGCCCAGGTTCGAATCCTGTGGAACTTCTGATTTTGCGATATACTCAACTGATTTGAAGCAATTTATATACACATACTGTTTACGACATTAAAGATAAGATGTAAATAGTTTTAGGGGGGAATCATGAATTATAATTTAGTGAGCAAGGTTCTATGATGCAATGTGTCAAATTCCTTAGACAAATCTGTGTATACGACGTCCGTTTGCTTCTTACTGTCAATATTCTCGACAATGATTTGTGTTATGTTAACAAGATTAGTTAGTGTTGAACGTTGTTGTACAAAACCATGTTGATGCGATGACATTTTATTTTGACCTGCAAATTAATATCGCGATACAATAAAACCTCGAACACCTTAGAAAAGTTACAAATTACAGATATTGGTATGTTATTGGTAACATCATTCATATGTTCCCTTTTTGAATATAGGACACACTTTCGATTCTTCCACATATCTGGAATCGAAGATGTTTTAAGACATATATTTAACACCATTAGAGCATAAGCAAGAGCATGTGCACAGTTGCACAGTCTTTATTTAGAAAGGCCGGAATATGATCAAGATCTTTCTTTGCTTTTACTTAAGTGTTCGGCAAAACCATTTACAATAGAATTAGGATTATCTAAAATAATATTATTATTATTACTCATATTATTAGGTACGGAACTAAAACCCTTCGTCCTGTTCACAAAAGACCAGAATCTAGAACGATTCGTGGTAATATTTGATTCTACAGACTTATCTACATCTAGTTTGATTTGAGCCCTTAACCTAGCAAACTCTATGTACGCAGATGGGTCACTACGTCTCTTATATAGACGATGGTACTTTGCTTTTTTACGAATGAGACTAATAATATTATAATTAAACCAAGGTGGGTAAATTTTAGAAGTCTTTACAGTGGTTTTGTGCACACATCTATCGAGCACATTGTACATTTTTCCGTAAAAGTACGTACATGCATCATTAGCATTTTGCAGGATGCTGATGTTAGTCCTCACGAACCAGAGCAACCAGGGATCTTTCAATTATGCACTGATTTGTGGAGAATACCAGATCTAATAGTTTATCATTAGAATTATGGATACTATTAACGTACTGGCTAGCCGACCGGCGCACACTGGGGCAACAAGCCATCAAAGTTGGCAATAAATCACAGACTTTCTTTATGAATTTGTAAGTTAAATATTGCTTTGTAGAGGTGTTAGTATTCCAAATGAAAATACATAGAGGGCTTATAAAGTGTTTGTTTGCTACAAAAATAGAAAGTTATTAAGAATATAATATAATAAAAATGTATATTCTATTCTTAATATCTTTCTATTTTTTTTTTTTTAGCAAATAAACACTTTATAAGCCCTCTATGTATTTTCTTTTGTAATACTAACATATAATATAATTAAAATGTCATGAGCCTAATGAGGGCCTAAGTGCCGTGGGGGTAATCCACTCTCCACATGTTAAAAATACAGATAATAAAAAATGTAATATAATAATTTCATTTAGAAAAGCTATGATAATTGTAATCAAATTTCATCCTCTTTAGAATGTGATGAGACATTTTCTTCATCGTCTCCACGGTCATCATCAGTGTCATGAATATACCATGGCTATGAAGCTGGGCGAGTCCAGATTTAAACAAATTACTGCTTTTTTAGGAAAGTTCTTTCTTTTTTAATTTTCGATTGCTCGTGATTATTTGAATAAGAAAAAATAATGCCATTTAGTTTTAGTGGTCCATAGGAAATGTGGATTAGTTCCATGCTTTTTGTAATACAAATGATTAATATTTCGTAAATGTATTCTGCACAGTACCTAGTAAATTTTGTCCCATTCTCTATACAATAAAATATTCTAAAATACACTAAAAAGACAATATACCATTTTTATACATGCCTTTTGATTTAAAGACGACCGAATACTTATCTAGAAGTGTTTGCGTTCTAAATTAGATTACATACCAGAATGGTTCTACGTCCTGATGATTGTCGAGCAATCCAGCAGGCGTAGACGAGTCCATCAGTGTTTACGACAGAGACTTGGAAATAAACGTATCGCCGTTGTTTGAAAAGACAGGTTCATCCTGTTTATTTAGTGGAAGTTAAAACCAGTATCGAAAACAAGGATGTTTGTACAAAGTTGACTGGAAGTAGTAAAAAACGTCTTTCAAATCGGCGCTCTGAATTTCAATTGTATATATACGAGGAATAATTAGGAAGTTTCAACCAGTTATAAGACCATTAAACATTCGAATACATTTTATGAACGCGAATAATAACTAGACCGACAGTTTCTGTTTTAATATACTGATATGATAATTCAAAATTAGAGTAGTGTAATAATTTAGTTCAAGTCAAGACAAAAAGTGAAAAAAAGAGGAAGAATCGTAATGTAAACAAAATTATTATAAAAAAAAAACAAACACTGATTGTATATGTTTTTTAAAAGCCCATTTTTGTATTTTCTTCGGATAATCTAAATAAGTCATTTATACCTCCCCAACCTATTATTCCATAAATGATGTGACTAAACTAATAAAAATGAAAATTACTCGTATATTGTTTTTGAATGGTAAACATAAAAAACATTATTTGGAACTAAAGACGATAAAAAAGTCCCAGAATTTTTTTTTGGGTCTAATTTGAGGTACTTTTCTTTAGTTATTCCAAGATATCTTATGGTCCCTGTTTTTCGATTTTTGTATGGTCTATGATGAGTGGTTCTATATTCCTATATTTCAAGACTATTTGAGTACGAAGTAGAAGGAACATATTTTGTCTTCTGTATGTATTGTGTTAACCTATTATATTCAAACCATTTCTTTAGTTCATAAATTTCTTCCTGAGCAATATACTTAAGTGTAGAAGAAAATTCGATTGCTTGCTTTGGGGATCAAAACCCATGAATGGATTCATCTTTACAAATAAATGTGTTCACAGTTATTTTCTGAAAGAAAGAATATTTTTAATAAAAAACTTACTCTCTAAACAAATAGTAAAAGAAAAAAGATGTAAACTAATATTCAAATTAAAAATATTAATTAATTTACCAATAAATAATAAGATTTTATTTATCTAAAGTGAATGAACATTCGGAGTATAGCTAAGTAAGTTAGGTTATCTATGAAAAGGTAGCATGTAAATTTAATACTAGATTTTTACAATTTTTATCATTTCAATCGAAGTAAAGTTGACGTTCATAGAATTCAATACATAGTAGGTTTGTTCTGGTTTCTTTTAAAGATGCAGACCGTCCGAAATCCAGTTGAACAGCTAAATATCAAATTATTCGTCGCGTACTACTTTTAAATTGTTCACTAGTCAACTAGTCCTCTGATAGTTTTCAACGTAGTTTTGAAAGACCCGAACAAGTCTATTATAAATTCATATTAGTTGGGGGTTACATATCAGTAGTGATAAATAATTATACTGACTAAGATTACATATAAATGGTTTTAGAGAAAAGAAATCTACTCAAGATGCCATTCTCTGATATCTTTAGCCCTGAAATGTGCTTTTGACACCGTTGACCATTATAGTATTATTAAAATAGAAAATCATATTAGCAGCGATAAATAAATTACATGCAGGGTTCTTTAGGGAACGATGTTGTGGGCCTAACATATTTAAACCATATATTTTTTCAGGAATGTGAGGGAAAAAATAGATTTGCAGATCACACTATTATATATTATAAAAGTGACAACGGTATTATCTCAAAATCAAGAAAATTCCTTACCTAAATTTAACCTTACTATCCAAAATTATTTTGTCATAAAACTTTTTAATAAAATAAAATATTTAAGTGTATTCTTAGAGACAGTCACCTAAGATGTGATCATCACATATAGTATTTGTCAAAAAAACTGCGGTGTATTTTATTCAAATTTAGCCAAGTATTCATATTTTTAGATAACAAACAAAAAAAATAATATACAAAAGTTAGGTGCAACCTCATCTAAACTAAGGATGAGGAGGAGTTTCTATCTGCTTACCGGATGAAAGGTATATTTTATTAAATTAAATAA